GAACCACACATAACTGGTCAGAACCTCACAGAACCCAGTGAGAACCACACAGAACGCAATCAGAACCACACAGAAACCAGTCAGAACCACACAGAATTGAGAACCACACAAAACCCAGCCAGAACCACACAGAACCCAGTCAGAACCACACATAACCCACTGAGAACCACACAGAACGCAGTCAGAACCACACAGAACCCAGTCAGAACCACACAGAACCCGTCCCAGCATCTGAACACAGAGCCCAGTCAGAACCAGAACCTGGTCCAGTCTGGTTCCGCAGCAGAACCTCACAGAGGATCAACTCCAGCTCTTAGAGCCTTCCCCCCCCTCTGAGGTCTGCATGAGTCCCATTGTGTACCCACAAGGTACAGAGGTCAGAGGTCAGGGGTCAGAGGTCAGGGGTCAGAGGTCAGGGGTCAGAGGCCAGAGGCCAAAGGTCAGAGGTCAGAGGCCAGAGGTCAGGGGTCAGACCTACACAGCTCATCAGACGACTCTGGGGTTCTGATCCTGCCCTTCTCGTTCTGGTTTTTCCTCCCCATCGGGCTCAGAGGACTCATGTGGGCTGAAACAGGACACAGAAGGGATGTCAGGCCCCGCCCCCAACAAGCCACGCCCACCTTCTGCCCCCAATAAGCCCCGCCCATATAACTGCCCACTTACAGGCTCCGCCCACCCCAACTCCCTCCAATAGGCTCCTCCCACCTCCAGACTCCAACAGGCCCCGCCCACCTTCTAAACCCAACAGGCCCCGCCCTCCTCAGCAGGCCCCGCCCACCCCGACTCCCTCCAATGGGCCCCCCCCCCTTCCCCACTCCAACAGGCCCCGCCCACCTCCTAAACCCAACAGGCCCCGCCCACCCCAACTCCCTCCAATAGGCTCCTCCCAGCTCCTGACTCCAACAGGCTCCGCCCGCCTGCTAAACCCAACAGGCCCCGCCCACCTCCTGACTTCAACAGGCCCCGCCCACCTCCTGACTCCAACAGGCCCCGCCCATCTGCTAAACCCAACAGGCTCCGCCCACCCCGACTCCCCACCTGAAGGCCTCGGCGACAGGGACTGCAGTGGCGCCGCCTGCGAGAACCCGGAGAACCCGGCGGCGTCCTGGGGGCAGCACTGGGAGGACTGGAGGCACTGGGAGGACTGGAGGTACTGGGAGTACTGGTCCTCCGTGGGCACCGAGGGCTGGGCCGGGACCGGACTCCGTTCCCGTGGAGACGGGGACCGGAGCTGGTACTGGGAGAAGCCCCGACTCTCGTCGGTTTCACAGGGACCCAGGAAGGAGGAGGAGCAGGAGGGGGGGGGCAGGGATGAAGAGGAGGGGGGGTAGGAGTGCTCCAGGGGGCCGAGGCGGGCCAGGTTCTGGGACAGGAGGGCCACGTTTGGGTCCAGGTGGTCTAGGTGGTCCAGGTGGTCTAGGGGGTCTAGGGGGGCCCGGGTGGGGTCCAGAACCCGGCGCTGGACCTCCTGCAGCCTGCCACACACCTGAGGAGAGAACCCAGGTGAGATCCTGGACGGGATCCACAGCGACCCGCAGCTGGTTCTGGTTCTGGTGGTTCTGGTGGTCCTGGTTCCGGTTCTGGTTCTGACCTCCACCATGGCCGGCCTCTTCTTCCTCCGGCTGTGGAGGCTCCGGCAGGCCAGAACCGCCACGTCCCGCCAGCCCACCGGGTCAGGAGCACCGTCTGTGGAACCAGGGAAGGAACCATCAGAACCAGAGCAGGAACCGTCAGAATCAGAGCAGGAAGCATTAGAACCAGGGTAGGAACCGTCAGAACCAGGGAAGGAACCATCAGAACCAGAGAAGGAACCATCAGAACCAGGGAAGGAACGTCAGAACCAGGAAAGGAACCATCAGAATCAAGGCAGGAAGCATTAGAACCAGGGAAGGAACCATCAGAAACAGAACAGGAACCATCAGAACCAGAGAAGGAACCATCAGAACCAGGGAAGGAACCGTCAGAACCAGGGAAGGAACCGTCAGAACCAGGGAAGGAACCGTAAGAACCAGGGAAGGAACGTCAGAACCAGGGAAAGAACCGTAAGAACCAGAGCAGGAACCTTTAGAACCAGAGCAGGAAGCGTTAGAACCAGGGAAGGAACCCTCAGAACCAGGGAATGAACGTCAGAACCAGGGAATGAACGTCAGAACCAGAGGAGCAAGCATTAGAACCAGAGAAGGAACCATCAGAACCAGGGAAGGAACCATCAGAACCAGGGAAGGAACCATTAGAACCACAGTAGGAATTATTGGCTCCATCACGGGAACCATAAGAATCAGAGCAGGAAGCATCAGAACCAGAGCAAGAACAATCAGAACCAGAGCAGCAAGCATTAGAACCAGAGAAGGAACCATCAGAACCATGGAATGAACCGCCGGAACCAAAGAAGAACCCATCAGAACCAGAGCAAGAACTACCGGAACAAGAGTAGGAACCATCAGAATCGAGACAGGACACATAAGAACATGAGTAGGGGGAAAGAACCATAAGAACGGGAGCAGGGAATCAGAACTAGAGCAGGAACCATCAGAACCAGAGATGGAACCATCAGAATCAGAACATAAACCATCAGAACCAGGGAAGGAACCGTCAGAACCAGAGCAGGAACTATTGGAGCCAGAGCGGGAACCACAACAATCAGAGCAGGAAGCATTAGAACCAGAATAAGAACCATCAGAACCAGAGCAGGGACTATTGGATCCAGCACGGGAACCATCAGAAACAGAGCAGGAAGCATCAGAACCAGAATAAGAACCATCAGAACCAGGGAAGGAACGTCAGAAACAGAACAGGAACCATCAGAATCAGAGCAGGAACCCTCAGAACCAGGGAAGGAACCATCAGAACCAGAGCAGGAACCGTCAGAAGCAGGGAAGGAACCATCAGAACCAGAGCAGCAAGCATTAAAACCAGAGAAGAAACCATCAGAACCAGGGAAGAAACCGTCAGAATCAGAGAAGGAACCATCAGAACCAGGGAAGGAACCATCAGAACCGGAGCAGGAATTCACCTGGCAGCAGCCGTCGGTCCAGTTGGTTCCGCCAGGCGTCCTCCATTGGGCCGTTTGGGCCGCCCTCCAACTCCTCCACCAGGGACCGCTGTGGACCAGAACCAAGCCAGAACCCTCAGAACCGGAACTCAGAACCGCAAGAAGAAGGTACTGTCATGCTGTTTGAACTGGGTCGAAGTTCAGATCCAGTCTGGACCATCAGAACCGCCTGTCTGACCCAGTCTGGACCGGCTGGTCCGGTTCTGGACCATCAGAACCGTCCCGGTTGACCCAGTCTGGACCATCAGAACCGACCCGGTTGACCCAGTCTGGACCATCAGAACCGACCCGGTTGACCCAGTCTGGACCGGCTGGCCCGGTTCTGGTCCGGTTCTGGCCCGGTTCTGGCCCGGTTCTGTCCCCTGCAGGTGGGTGCTCTGACCAGGTATTTGTCCCCTGACTTCTTGTCCTTCTCCAGCGCTCGGCGTCCGGTCAGAACCTCCAGCAGAACCTGGAACGCACACAGAACCCGGGGTGACCCAAAGCCCCCCTCTGAGGGACTCCATTTCCCATCAGCCCCGGCGGCGGCCGCTCACCACTCCGAAGCTGTAGACGTCCAGGGCCGTGCACAGCTCGCCCCTCCTCACGTACTCGTCCGGGAGGTAGGCCAGCGTTCCGCGGACCGTCGCCGTCCGCCCGATGGAGGCCGTCTGGGTGAAGGAACCGGAACCGGAACCCCCGCCCGGCCCGATTGGGCCGAACCGGGCTGGGCCAGGGGGCGCCAACCGGGCCAGGCCAAAGTCCGACAGCTTGGCCACCAGGTGCTGGTCCAGCAGGATGTTGGAGCTAAAGGGACAGAAAATAGCAGCCATTTTGTTCTCTGTTCTTCCACTGAAACAACCTATGATTCATTCCACTGGATGAGAACCTATTCTCTTTTAAACGGTTCCTGCTCTGGTTCTAATGGTTCCTTCCCTGGTTCCAATGGATCCTGCCCTGGTTCTGATGCTTCCTGCCCTGGTTCTGATGGTTCTTTCCCTGATTCTGATGGTTCCCCCCACTGGTTCTGATGGCTCCTGCTCATGTTCTTATGGGTCCTGCCTTGACTCTTATGGTTTCTGCTCTTGTTCTGACGGTTCAGACAGGTTCTGCTGAGGAACAGAGGAACCGCAGGGCCCTGCCCGGCTGTCCCCTGTGACGGGTCGGACCAGTTCTGGAAAGTTCTGCTCCGACCCACAGAACCGGACAGAACCAATTCAGCAAAAGTGGAAAAATATGGGCCATTTTTTCCTTTGATTCTTTCCAATGGATCAGAACCTGTTCTCCTTTAAACAGTTCCTTCCCTCGTTCTAATGCTTCCTGCTCTGGTTCTAATGGTTCCTGCCCTGGTTCTGATGGTTCCTGCTCTTGTTCCGGTAATTCTTGCTCTGGTTCTGATGGGTTCTTCTCTGGTTCTGGCAGTTCCTTCCTTGGTTCTGATGGTTCCTTCTGTGGTTCTAATGCTTGCTGCTCTGGTTCTGATGGTTCCTGCTCTGGATCCAATAGTTCCTGGTGCGGTTCTAATGCTTCCTGATCTGGTTATAATGCTTCGTGCCCTGGTTCTAATGGTTCCTGCTCTGGTTCTGATGGTTCCTGCTCTGGTTTTGATGGTTCCTGCCCTGGTTCTGATGGTTCCTGCTGGTTTCTTCCTGATTCCTGCTCTGAAATTGGGACCATTTTGTTCTTTGTTCTTCTCCTGAAACGTCCTTTGATTCATTCCAATGGATCAGAGCCTGTTCTCCTTTAAACGGTTCCTGCTCTGAACCAATCGGATCCCTGACCCACGCCTGCTGATCGGATGACCTCTGACCTTTTCACGTCTCCGTGGATCAGCGGTTCCTGGCCGGCGGGGGGGCAGTGAAGGAACTCTAAAGCCGTTGCTGCCCCTTTAAGGATGCCGACTCTGTGGGACCAGGAGAGGGAGCAGCAGTCCTGCAACAAACAAACAAACAAACAAACAAACAAACAAACAAACAAACAAACAAACAAACAAACAAAGGGCCAGTTCAGCGGATGCACAGGAACACGTAGAACACACAGGAACTGGAACCGGAACCAGGATTACGCTGTGGAGCTGGTCCTCCAGGGATCTGTTGCTCATGAAGCTGTAGATCAGACACATGGAACCGCCCCCCTCACTGAAGCCCAGAAGATCCACGATGTTGGTGTGACGGAACCTGAAGACGGAACACAATCTGTCTGTGGTTCTACTGAACACAGAACACGGAACTCATTCTGTGTGTGGTTCTACTGAACCTGAACACAGAACTCATTCTGTGTGTGGTTCTACTGAACCTGAACACAGGACTCATTCTGTCTCTGGTTCTACTGAACCTGAACACATTCTGTCTCTGGTTCTACTGAACCTGAACACATTTTGTCTCTGGTTCTATAGAATACAGAACAAAAAAAACATTCTGTATCTGGTTCAACAGAATACAGAACAAAAAGTACATACTGTCTCCGGTTCTACTGAACACAGAACAAATTTTGTCTCCTGTTCTATTAAACCTGAACCCATTCTGTCTCTGGTTCTACTGAAAACGGAACATATTCTGTCTTTGGTTCTACTGAACACAGAACACATTCTGTCTCCTGTTCTATTGAACGTGAACACGTTCTGTCTGTGGTTCTACTGAACACAGAACTCATTCTGTCTCTGGTTCTAGTGAACACAGAAAACGTTCTGTCTCTGGTTCTACTGAACCTGAACACCGAAGTTATTCTGTCTCTGGTTCTACTGAACCTGAACACATTGTGTCTCCGGTTCTACTGAAAACAGAACATATTCTGTCTTTGGTTTTACTAAACCTGAACACATTCTGTCTCTGGTTCTACTGAACCTGAACACATTATGTCTCTGGTTCTACTGAACACAGAACTCATTCTGTCTCTGGTTCTACTGAACCTGAACACATTCTGTCTCTGGTTCTACTGAAACACAGAAAACGTTCTGTCTCTGGTTTATACTGAACCTGAACAAAAAAAGCCATTGTGTCTGTGGTTCTACTGAACACAGAACACATTCTGTCTCTGGTTCTACTGAACCTGAACACAGAACACATTCTGTCTCCGGTTCTATTGAACCTGAACAAATTCTGTTTCTGGTTCTACTGAACCTAAACACATTCTGTCTGTGGTTCTACTGAACACAGAACACATTCTGTCTCTGGTTCTAATGAAAACAGAACAAATTCTGTCTGTGGTTCTACTGAAGACAGAACACGTTCCGTCTGTGGTTCTACTCACTTTGAGAGTTTCTCCACTTCAGTCTGGAAGCTTTTTCTCAGCACAGACGAGTCCATCAGAGAGTCCTGAAACAGGAAGCGGCACAGATGAGCCGACCGGTCCTGACGGGACGCGGTCGCCGTGGGAACCGGCGCCGTGGAACCCGACGCTGCGCTGCGATTGGCCGACCTGCCGCAGCCTCTTGACGGCGCAGTCCATCCTCCTCAGAGTGGCTCGGTACACGACCCCGAAGCCTCCCTCCCCCACCTGCAGGGCGGGGGAGAAGCCCCGCGTCCCATCATGCACCTCTTCGTAGGCCCAGACCATGACCGCCCCCCCCACGCTGGACGGGCCGCCGGTGGCGATGGCGGCGTTGCCGTCGGCGACGGCGGCGTTGGCGGGCGGCGCCTCCTGTGGATGCAGACTGTTATTGACCATCTGAGTGTTACAAATCCTCTAGTCCAGTGTTTTTCAACCTTTTCTGAGCCAAGGTACAGTTTTTCATTGAAAAAATCTCGAGGCACACCACCAACCAAAAATGTTAAACAAATCTGTAGCCGCCTATAGTAACACTATAGTTATTCTTATCTTATCTTAAGTGTCATGAATAGGAATCAAATAAACACAAAAATGTGTTTTTATCTTATTTTATATTTCTTCTTTCAAATTGCACTTACTATGTCCACTTCAACATACAAAATTATATACAAAATCTAGTCATAAGGAATTATTACATGATTACGCCACCAGTCACTAGTACAGCACAGACACTCAAAAATGGAATAATATTTCCAGATAATTAATTCCTTATCAAACTATCTTTTTAGACCAATTAGGTGAAATAGGATGATTTTCAACGGCACACCTGATGATCACTCGGGGCACACTAGTGTTGAAAAACACTGCTCTAGTCAGTGGATGTTTATGTTTATGTTTATGTTTATGTTTATGCATTTGGCGGCTACCTGGGGCTGGTCCACTGAGTACAGGTCTGTGGGGGGGCGGGCGGGGCCAGGTAGGCATCTCCCCTCCCCCTTACCGTCCGACCAATCAGCTGAAGGGTGAGAGCCACACTTGTTTATGTTTATGTTTATGTCTATGTTTATGTTTATGCATTTGGCAGACGCTTTTATCCAAAGCGACTTACAGAGTAGACACAATATTACACTTAGGGTCAGTAGCCCTGTTTGGGTCAGTTGTGACAGCCAGGGGTCAGAGGTTACCTGTCGCCGGGGGCAACCAGGGGAGGGAGCTGGCAGGAGGGCAGGAGGGGGCGGGGCCAGCAGGACGCAGGGGGGGGGGCGGCGAGGGAGCCGGAGGGGGCGGAGCCAACGCCGACAGCCCTGCAGACAGGAGGAGAGGCAGCTAGAGCTCTGGGTCTATGTTTATGTTTATTTACTTCTTTAATCAGGACAGTGCACATTAATGAACAATCTCATACAGATTGTAAATGAGCCAGATTCTAGCATAGTTGCTAGTTTACAACTGTCGTCCTCAGGCAGGAAGACCAAACAACACAAAATCACAAAATACAAAATCAGTCCAAACACACGTTCAGACAATGACATTACAAAATTAAAATGAATTCAATTCAATTCAATTTTATTTATATAGCGCCACATCACAACAACAGTTATCTCCCAGCTTTCCAAACAGAGAAAGTCAGACCCTACTCTGAAGTTAATTACAGAAACCCAACAATTCCCACCATGAGCAAGCACTAGGCGACACAGGCGAGGAAAAACTTCCTTTTAACAGGCAGAAACCTGGAGCAGAACCATGGCTCAGGGTGGGGGGCCATCTGCCTCGGCCGGGCCGAGGTCAGAGGTCGGGGGTCGGGGGTCAGAGGTCAGGGGTTGGGGTTCAGGGGTCAGAGGTCGGGGGTCAGAGGTCATGGGTCAGGGGTCAGGGGTCATGGGTCAGGGGTCAGAGGTCATGGGTCAGGGGTCAGAGGTCAGGGGTCATGGGTCAGGGGTCAAGGGTCGGGGGTCAGGGGTCAGGGGTCACTCACAGCTCAGGACGACGTCGCGCGGCCTGAATAGCTGCAGGGACTCCAGCAGGTCGATGAGCTCGCCCACGCGGCCGTTCCTGATCCCCCATTGGTTCATCACGTAGTCCGTCCGCCGGTCCTCCCTCTCGGCCAATCGCAGCGAGGTCTGGTCTCTGAGGACCTCAGAGGCTGGGGGGGGGGCAGAAAGAGGGTCAAACCGGGGCTCTGGACCCCCTCAGGGGCCGGTTCTGGATCCAAACCCAGCATGCCCATAGTCTTACGCATGCGCGAACTGCGAAAAGTAGCGAACACTTGGAGAAACCGACAGATCGCCATACCTTTCGTACATAACTAAAGGGATACACGCCTGTTGAGGTAGTTTACAGTGTATTTTTCGTACGAAACTAAAGGGATACTCGCGCGTTGAGGTAGTTTAAAGTGTATTTAGAGAAGGGTCTAGCATCTACAAAACGCGTCCCGTACAAAACACACCTCCCGCCCAGCCAATCGTTGATTTTGATTTGGACATTACGTCATCTTGGATACAGATTAATTGAAGTGAATCAAACGTGAGCATGATGCTTACTACCAGCAAGGTTGTAGTTAGCAGATAAAAAAGTAATGATAATCTTGTTCAATGTTGGGATTAAAGGAACAGTTCAATCGATGATCAAATTGATGTACAATTTTGCCACGTTTTTTATTTGCTTATAGCTTCTAATTTTCCAGGGACTGCACATGCTTTAAATACGAAATTGTTAGAAATAGCATTTCTAAGTTAATTTGTAAACAAAATTACTTGACTTTCGGTGTTGTTTTCTGGTAAGTTTGTGTGTTTACCTTAAACTACAACCTTTTGTTTATCATATCACGCATCAAGTAGTCTAGTAAACTTCGTCAATGTTAATCTCTTAGATTTCTGCTAAAGGTAGCGCATGCATATTAACTATGTGTATGCTGGTCAGATGGGGCATGGGGCATGCGAAAATATGACGTCATGCGCATGCGTATTGGCTATGGGTATCCTGGTCTGTCAGACCTAACAGAACACCGGCCAATCAGAGCCAGGCCACTGCTGGACCCCCCCAAAAACCCGGAATTCCCGGCTCCGTGACGTCAGAGGACCCCGCCGTGAGGGCAGCGAGTGACGTCACGGCCCCGCGTTTTTTTTTTTTTCAGAAAACAAGCCCCGGCGATGCTAGCAGCTAGCACGCGGTGACCCCCGGTTCCGGTCCAGACTCACCGAACCGGGTCCAGTCCAGGTCCGACAGCCCGTCCATGACCCGGCAGAACTCCCACAGGACGGACGAGGGCAGGCTGTAGATGAACTGCCCCCGCGGGTCTCCTCCGGACATGTTTTTTCTCCACCGGAACCGGACCTACCCTCCGAACTTCGCTGGTACCGACGGGTTAACAGCAAATCCACCGGACCCACCGGGACTCATCAGAACCCGGGGAAAAGCGGCCCGATAAAACTTCCCAAACTGTGCCCACAAGTTCAACTACTTCGAGACTTCCGCCCAAAAAACGTTCAGCAACCACATCCGGTCGCACCCACAAAAAATAAAAGCCTCTGTTTACATTGGATCCGAACGGGTCTAAACCGGGTCCCGGTGGGGGTTTGGGTTGGTTTCACTCAACCAGTCATTAGTGGGAATAAAACTGGGAGTTTCTGGGAACAACACATAACAACACCTGGTGAATAATACCTATTTAATATCACCTGGTGAATAAAACCTACTAAATTACATCTGGTAAATAACACCTGGTAAATAAAACCTATTTAATAACATCTGGTGAATAACACCTGGTGAATAAAACCTTTTTAATGACATCTGGTAAATAACACCTGGTGATTGAAACCTTTTTAATGACATCTGGTAAATAACACCTGGTGAATAAAACCTGATGAATAAAACCTGGTGAATAACACCTGGTGAATAAAACCTATTTAATGACATCTGGTAAATAACACCTGGTGAATGAAGCCTGGTGAATAAAACCTATTTAATAACATCTGGTAAATATCACCTGGTGAATAAAACCTATTTAATAACACCTGGTAAATAACACCTTGTGAATAAAACTTATTTAATAACGTCATGCGCATAAGTAACATCTGGTGAATAAAACCTATTTAATAACATCTGGTAAATAACACCTGGTGAATAAAACCTATTTAATAACACCTGGTAAATACCACTTCCTGAATAACACCAAATCCTCAGAGCTTTATTTCCTACCAAAAAGGCCTGAACACAGACTTCCGGACCTTTCTGACTGAAGCGCCTTATTTCCCATTTTGTCCCACAGCATGAAAGCAGCATGATGTCAGCTCAGGAAACACTCACTTCTCCTTTTCTAACTGCTTTCTCTGGATGTTTGAGGTGGTCCTGCGTGCATCGTTTGGGCTCAGACACACTCAGTTTTCACTGGTTCCACATCATTTAGAGTTTATTTAGACAAACGAACAGAGAGCAGAGCACCATGACAATTACAATAATACTAATAATAATAATGTAATATAATAGTAATAAAAACAATACCAGGCAGCAGAAGTCTCATAAAGATTCATAAAGCAGAGGTTGATATGATGTAGACCTGTGAATCTGAGATTTAGCCTCTAAAAAGGAATGAATATGTTCCCATAGGATAAAGATGCTGCTTTTCCTGCTGGGTCACTGGTCCTCACAGGGTCACATGACTTTGTAAATCAAAGGAAATCAAAGGCCTCTTCTTCCTCCGGTTTTAGAAGGAGAGTTTTATATCTGTGCCTGTTTTGAAGCATAAACATAGTGGGAGCAAAGACAACAAAATACTCCAAAAAGTACGTTTTTAGGGAGCAGAAAGTCATTAAAACAACCGTCTGTACTGAGCAGCACCAAGACGACAGCTGCAGACAGCTTTTCTCTGATAAAATGTCTCAGAGAGGTGGGTTTAGAGCCCAGAGAGATGGAAAGGAAGGCCTGAGACCCCAAAAAGTATAGGCTGAAACTCGAGGTATAACAGTAATAATTACAGAGGTGTGTAATCACTCCCCATTTATCTCCTCTGTTTTTCTGTTTATACTTTAATGAGGCTGCTGAACTTAATTTCCCTGAGCAAGTCCTTCCAAACGTTCAATAAAGTCGTCAGTGCTACCAAAATAAAACAGGAAATATTCTGGGATTTCCAAAATAAAACAGGAAATACGACATGGATTACCACACGTAAATTGGAAATACCCAGGGATTACCACATTAAAACAAGAAATTCCCGGGGATTACCTAAATAAAACAGGAAACACCACCGGGGTGACGCATTTAAACAGGAAATACTATAGGGATTACCAAAATAAAACGCTCAATGAGTCACAGCAGGTGTGGGAGCTGGACATTTCCATTTGACACCTGAAACACAACCAGACATGGAGAAATCCCTGCGTTGGCTTCTTCAGAATCAGAATCAGAATCAGAATCAGAATTAGAATCAGAAATACTTTAATAATCCCTGAGGGAAATTATTTTTGTTACTGGCTCCATAAATAAAACAACGGCATATGCATATATACATGTCTGTACATATATATATACAAAATTCCTCATATAATATAGATAGATATATACATAAAAAAACTATATGTATATAAATAGGTCAAAATTTTGTCTGCACACCCCACCTGATGGTCTGCGTGCAGCCATTGCACGGCTGATGCTCACAGAAATAATAAATTCACTTGGTCACCACATCTGGAATGAGAAATGATGAGCTCTTGTTGAAGAGCATCTGTCATCCAGTGCCTCCCTGGCTAATCAGAGGCCTACAGTCTGTAGAGTCTTTAGAGTCCACTCAGATTTGAACCTGGAGCTGAAACTGTAACTGTCAGGAAGCACCAGACAGAGAGGCATAAATGACTATAGTTGTGTTAGATGAGTTTCTGTTTGCCCAAAGCCAGTCTGAGCCTCCTTCTGGTCGAGACAGCTTTGAACACCTAGGCCAGATTTAGTGGTCTTTGTTTTAAAGGAAAGCTGGTTTCTTTTCCAGGCTTAAACAGAGGTGTGAATCTGTTCGGTTTAGGGTCAGAGCTGAGGACCATAGACCTTCAGATCCAGGCTGCTAACACCAGTTTGAGGCTGGAGCTGGTGGACACAGACCAGTGCTTCCCCATTTGAGTCTGAGTCCGGTCTGCTGGTGTCAGAAAGCACGCCGGCAACAGTTTCTGTTTCTGTTTCTGTTTCTGTTTATGCATTTGGCAGACGCTTTTATCCAAAGCGACTTACAGAGTAGACACAATATTACATTTCTCATCACAATGACAATAAGCTATACAGAGGAGAAACACTGATCAGAGTCAGTGGTGAGATAGAGATAGAGGTAGAGGGACTACAGAAGGAGCTGTGGGGGGTAGAGGTACAGGTTAGTTTAGCTGAGCTAAATGCTCATCTCCAGTCAGGTCTGAGCCATTCGAGGAGCAAAGCTCAGAGCACCACAGCTCAGGGGAAGGTGAACAGGCTGCAGCTAAACCGGCAGAAGAGGCAGCCAATCAGAGCGCTTTGCAGCACAGCTGCTTCCTTCCTGCTGCTCTTGTTGTTTTGCATTGAGCTGGTAACAGCTCAAAGTTCCTGATTTGTTTTAAGTTAAAGACTTAGACTTACACAGTACTTTATTGATCCCTTGGGAAGACTCCCTCAGGAAATTAAGGTTACCAGCAGCTTAAAGGGCAAAAAGTATTAAGTTATTAAGTTAAAATTAAATTAAGCAAACAATATAAATAAAAAAATACAATAAAAAATACAAAAAATACAGATTAAGTACAGTGTATATAATAATAGGAGTTGTGATGATATTAAGCAGTATTATTTTTATTATTCTCTTAATATCATTGTTTCAATCATGTGAGATGTAGTAAAAAAAACAAACACATATTGATTTGATATTTTATTGATCAGAATTTGTGTTTCCACAGAAGAAATAGACAGTTCCTATTTTCTCAAAGCGGACGTGAATGCGTACGTACGTCTATGAACGCGTCGGCCTGACGTCACTGAGCTCAGATCTCGCGAGGTTACGTGGCCGCGTTCCCACCCGCCTTCGTTCGCCGAGCGGAGCTAGCTTGATGCTAGCTGTTAGCAAACAAACACCTGGGTTAACGGGGTTAACCCGGGTTAACGGCTCAGCCTCCGGTTAGCATGGTAATAGCATGCTAGCAGGCCGCTGCCGGAGTGCCTCTGAGCACGCACTACCGTACATATGTACAGTTTTTTGAGAGTTTGAACTTTATTTGGGTCGAATTGTATGGGGAAATTTACTTAATTTTAATAATAAAAGTCCTACTTTTTACTTCACAAAAATGTTCTAAGTCTTTCTCTGCTCTTTTATTCTGTTGTGAATGTAGTTTGGGACTGTTTTGCCAAATAAAAGAAAAGAAAAAATGTAATATTTCAAGCTCCAGCTTTGCTTTGACTTAAACAGAAAGTACATTTGTTTAAATGTATTTGATCTACTTAAACTGAATCAGCTCTCCAGCAGAGCTCTGCATGCAGAGGGTTGCCGGTGCGAATCCCTGCCCCACTGCATACTGCCTTTGTGCCCCTGGGCAAGATGCCAAGTACTTTATCCTTAGTTATTGTTCTCATTCATTTGGAGTCAGTGTCCAATGTATCAGGAAAAATTTCCGCATTTGTTCAGGACTGTTTAAAAACTTGTTTTTAAGATTGAAAAATGTTCAAATACTTTCAATACTTAAGTAATTTTTAAAGCAAAACTCCAGTTTGTTTACCAAGTTTTACTTTCACCTTTTACTGGAGGAATATTTTATCAGTTGGTTCTGTACTTTGAAGTAATACTTCAATACTGTACTTATCTGTATTTTTTGTATTTTTTTTGTTGCATTTTGCTCTCTGTGTGCCACTTTTTTTACCCTGTAAGATGCTGGTAACTTTGATTTCCTGAGAGAGTCTTCCCAAGGGATCAATAAAGTACAAGTCTAAGTCTAAGTAATGAAACTGAGTACTTTGTCCACCGCTGTGTGTCTGAATATGATTGTATTCTATCATATTAATGTCTATTGCAGCTTGTGTGTAAACCTCAGCAAGATGAACTCTTCATTTCCTTACCTTGGTGTGGACATTATGCCAAATCTTCCATCCTTCTAACCTGAACCCATGAGTCCGGTCTGGTTTGGGGCTGTATTTGTGTTTTCGTACCACTAGGTGGCAGAAGCAGACAGATGCACGGAAACCGTTTCAGATTTCAGCCTCCAGTCACAAGCAAAGTTTAAATGCAAACAGCAGACTGTAAATGCAGGACCTGTGTCAGGGTGATGTATTATTTAGCTTAGAAAAAACCTTATTTCTGCTTCTGGTGGTTCTCTGAG